GGAAATTTTTTTTATGTCTACTTCAATTTTATGGGTAGTTTTGCTCGATGTAACAGTCTGTATTGGTAGTTATAATCCTATAGAAACTAGAAAAAATATTTCCATGTAATAATCAGATCTTATTCTAATGGATCAGGCTTTATATGAGATTTGGCTGATTTTGGTACTCTTCTTTAGTCATTATTTTCACTGTTTTAATTATAATAGGTTACAAGAAATTTCTTTTCTGTGCCTATTTAGTGTACTATGGCTTCTTTCTCTAGAGTATTTCTCTTTGTCTGCATTTTTGGAATTCTTCTTTATTTGGGGTATTAACTATACCTTTGTCCTGAAATTATCTGCTTCATATATCCACTATTCAACATTTTAGTACTTTGATGGTGACCAAAGTTCTAGCATATTCTGTTACTCTGTCATTTTCTTTTATTGGGTTATGTCTAGTTTCTTCATGTCCCTAAACCCTGATATTATGCCCTCTCTATAATCCATTATGAGGCCAAAGAGCCCTTATTAAGACTTAGTGAGCTTATAATTCCCTGGTTCTACTGTGTTTGGGTTTTGTTAGTATTTCTATCTTTATAATGAATTTTCATATTCTGAATTGTTCTTATTGTTTCAATCAGTTGTTTGCCTTTCATTTTCTAACTTCATTTTTTTCTCCTGTCCATTTTTTCATTCAGTTGTTTATATTCTATTTGAATGCCTGAACTCTCTGACCATGTTTATAATTTTTCTTTAAAAAGGTGTGTGTGTGTGTGTGTGTGTGTGTGTGTGTGTATGTGTGTGTGTGTGTGTTTCTCACTATATGACATTACTATAGTGATTTTTGGAGATGATGCATTCTTTTCTAACTTTCATATTGTTTGTTGTTTTATGAACATAACTTGGCATCTGCAGTCCGTATGTTAGTTTTTTTTTTTTTTAAGGAGTTTTTAACATACCATGCCTCCAGACAGAATGGCTGCAGACAGCGTAAAGCGGCTGGGTAGTGCAGGTCTAAAGGTGAGGCATGGCAGCCATAATCAGTGACATTTCCTAGGACCATGGCTGGAGGGACCACATACAGTGGCTAAAGAGGCTGTGCCGCACAACTCTATTGTGGAACTAGGCTAAAGTGACATTAGAGATGCAGCTGATATAGCAAGGGAAATCAGAGGTGGGGTGGGTCAGGATATTGTGGAGACAAGGTCACATAACCAGTGCTTAAGTCTCACATGGAGCAGTTACAGCAAGTAAGAACAGAGGTAGGACAGGCAAGGATGCTAGTCTGACAACAGCTTTCTTAAAAATCGCAAAATACAAAACAAAACTGAGAAAATAACTGGTTTGAAGTTGTATCTCAGAAGCAGAATACAAGTAGACTTGATCCCAAAGCACCTAAAACAAAAAAAGGAAGAGGATTTCACTTTATTGTCTAATCTTCAAATCTTTTTCAAATTTCAATGGTATCCATTAAACAATAATATTTTTCTGGTGTAGACCAATCCAATGGCATATGTTGTATTTTGTTTCATGGGTCTTTCATTGTGATTTGTTAGTTTTGTTGCTGCTTTCTCCTGTTTTCCAGAACATTTTTTAGTTGGTTTTCAGTTTAGTACACAATTATACTTTTCTCAGTGCATGAGAAAGCAAAGGATAGCACTTTGTGGTTTAAATAATGATGTTAATGTTGAAGATTTGATTCAAAATGGGTATCAATACATTTCTGCTGCTACTTATTTTTATGAATCTTAGGAAATACTTTGACACAATATTAGTACTCTGCTACTCATGGACTGTACCCACTACTTTTGCCTAAATTATTAGCAAGATGGTAACCAATATTTTCCTACCTGCATCTTGCTCATGTATTAATTGGCATCCTACTGTAACAGACAGATTTCCTTGTGTCCTCTTGATTTCTTTATTTTGTAATGAGGTATTCCTGAATAATTTTTTATTCTCTAAAATGCACTTTAATTGTTATTTCAACATTCAAATTGTTCAGGATTTTACTAATTGATACTCGTTCATGCTTTAAGAAGGCATGTGTGTTCCCTTTCCAACATGGTCTTCATGGACATATCCCCAAAGCAAATGACATAGGCACTATCAATTCCAGACACGTCGACCAAATGGAAAAGTGCAATGTTTACAACACTTAACACTCTCTCAAAATCTCAAAGCCTAGTGGTACGACCACATGCTAATACTCCTGAATCCCTAAAAATATTCAAAAGTGCACACTAATCATTATTTTTGACAAAGATATTTCTATAGAAATGAGAATGTGATGATGCATGACATTTTTGTTGACGTGGGCAGGCTGGTTTCTTCTCCCTTCTAATTGTGTTGTATGCATTCATGGAATTTAGAATGTGATAATGTTGAATGCTATAACAAGTTGTAAACGACTAGTGGCAGTTCCCTGAAGTATATGTGAGAAGTTTCTGTTTTGTGTCTCCCATTTTAAGTGTGCTTATTCAGAATCAACACTCTCCTATGGCTTTAAATTAAACCTGGCTCTGGTGATACTTACAAATATAGCTCCAAACGGAAATGTATTTCCTTTTCCATGTCCCACCCTCACTGAATGCCCTCTTAGCACCTTTATCTTATTTTCTAGTGCATATCACAATTTGCAATTAGATAATTATGTGTAATTATGTGTAATCATGTATAATCACCTCACACTACAGGGCACTGGATACTAAGTGCATGAGGGCAGGGACCAGGTCTCCCTTTCATTCAACACACAGTGGAGCGCCTACATAATAACTACTTTTGAGAGAAAACTTGTGTATCGAAAAGGTATTTATAAGGACATAAACCTGCATAGGCATTGCACTGTATTCTCCCTAGCCCCTGGAATTGTCACTGAAGGGGGGAAATTAGCCAGATTGACGAAGATAACAAATTAAAAAGTAATTTGCAGTTTGAACAGTTTCTGTGATTACAAAAAGAGATACCTTCCATAGTTTCTGGCATGCTTTTGTGTGCTGCCTCCAACATGTAGGAATACTGTTGTTTCCCAGAGGGTTACAATGTGATATTATTGGATTATGCATCATTGTCATTGTCTACTTTAGCATCTAGCAATATGTTCAATAACTAAGTTGCATGCAATACTATAAAACTTGGATGTGAAATCAAGTAAATTCTATCATTTTCTCTTAGAAAATCTTAACCTTAGCTACTTAGCAGGGGCGATACTTATTAGTTATGAGAAACGGCCAATACAAGCTGACACCCACAGTATTTGTGTCACACTACATTTTGAAGAGGACTATCACCAGTTTATCCACAGAGGCTGTGCAAAGGATTGATGGTTTATCTTAAGTCAGCTTTTTCAGGCATTAATTATCTACTGCAAGTAGTTTTTATGTTGTTAAAAAATAGTTAATCCTTTAAAACATTCATTCATTCATACCATTGGGGGGCTAATATAATTTTAGAGTCTTCAGCTACCAGGCACAAAGGAAAGGGCAAACACACAATTTGTGATTAAAAAAAAAAAAAAAAAAAAAAGTGAATGGTTCCTCCTGCACAAAGCTTGAAATCCACTGACAGTGATAGATACGTAAAATAATTTATTCCTGGATATTAATCAGATTCAGTGATAGAAAAAAGAGTGTTCTGAGAGATGTTAGCAGGAGGGCCCTGTTTTGGCTTGGGAGTGCATAAAGAATCATGTCTGAAATGAAGTACTTTGAGTGAAAACTAGTTGGTTTATGTTTGGTTTGTTTGTCTTTCTGATTAGGTTGACACAGCAGGTATTTGTCTCTTGGAGTTTTAAAGGCTGGGATGTTGAAACTCAAGGAGCTGGCAGATTCAGTTATTGATGATTCTTTTCCTAGATTTGAAGAAAACCAGCACTCTCGCTGCATACAGAGGATGAAAGAGAATTAGTCTCTCATAGATGTGAGCCCCATTATTGGTTGACAATGCAGAGTGCACTGGAACCATATACACACCACTAGTAAAAATGGACTCAGCATACTTTATTTCCCAATATTTGTAATACACATGTGTTTATAATAATGATCAGATAAAAATAGTCTATCAACTCGAAAGAGGGAGGGATGGGGGGTGCTTGGGAGAAAGTATCTGGAAGGGCTTGGTAGGGAGAAAGTGATGTAATTCTAGCTCAGTTGAAATAATATAGAAATAATCATACTAAAAAGAAACAAATTAAGGGAGAAAGGACTTGTTTGGAATCATGGTTTGAGAGCACATAGTACATCATGGCAAGAAGGGTATCATGGTTTATGGTTGTGTCACCAGAAGCAAGAGAATGCATGCATATATCTCTGTTGGTCATGAAGCAGAGGGAGACTGAATTACAGTAAAGTACACATTAGAGCTTTTAAGTACCCCCAGTCTAATTATACACTTCTTACTGCAAAGACCCCACTTCCAGAAGTCTTCACTACCTCTCAAAACACACTGCCTAAAGATTTAATGTTCAGTCCCAAGAGCCTGTTGAACATATTTCAGACATAAACCATAGCAACACAGAAAGAGAGGTGTCTGCTCCTAGAATGAGTTTTTTTTTCCAGAAGACAGAGACTAAAATTTCATTATGGAGGCTACAATATAAAAAATAAGTCTGCAATACTTGACATATACACTTGGCACCAAGTTTTGCCAGACGTGCATTACATTCTGATAACCATGACCTCGCCATTAATAAACTAACTGTATATTAAATAAGGTAACTTATAAGCAAGGTTTAGTAGATTTTTTTAAACTAGTTAACATTAAGCTACTGAATAACAAAGACCATTTTACTTTATCACAGAACAGACTAGAAAAATAGAGATATAGCAGAAATGTAAGTGAACATAGAACATAAATGGTGGTTACCTTCTGAAATTGATGTCCTTTCTGGTTAGCAGCAATTCAGTGTTGTGGAGATATTTCTGGGAAAGACACCCTATCTCCACCCCAGTGGTTTGGAATTTGAACCACTATATCTAACAAGATGTTTTATCTCTTCTACCCAGGATTGACTTGGAATAGTTATGTGGACCAACTCTGGCCAAAGAAGCATGAAGACTAGTCAACTAGGGTAAGTGTTAAGATAGATTTTTCCCACTGATAAATAGAAATGAAAAATCCATGTCTCTCATTGTAGGATATTGTGAGCCAGTGTTGCCTGTAGATATGAATGCAATATAGAGCTACATCTTTGAAAGTATGGGGACAAAAGCTAATACCCCCAAAAGTGTGTTAAATGACCAAGATACTAATGATTCTGAATCACTCAGTTAAGCAAACACACAGATGAAAAATTACAGCTATTAGTGTTTAATTCATTCTTATTTGAGCCTCCTATGACTTGCCAACTAAAGCATCCTCTGTGAGTCACCATTTAGGATTTGTCTTTTTCATATTATTTTAGTTGCAAAATATATACATTTGTACACTCAACTGACACATAAGAAAAGATGTTGCATCTTACAACTGAGAGCATCTTTGACTCAGAAAATTTAAGAATATTTTAGCAAAAGTAAAACTAATTAATTGGCTACAAATAATTGAATTCCATCCATGAACACTTTCTAGAAGGAAAGGTTCATTGGACATGAGGGACACACTATATTAACTCATAACTTTTAGGGAAGATAAAGCATGAAGATAAGTAAGTATAATGCTCAGCAGAATTTAAATAATGATAGTTACTATTAACTGCTATCAGACCACCAGTGAAGCAATGTAGGCTCTTTTTTCAGGAAGTATGCAAGGGGAAGATTCATTTGAAACAGGTTTTAAGGACCTACTAGTTAAATGGCTTAGGCTAAGCAAATAACTTCTCCAACAAAGTCATGGGACCTACAGTGACCTCAGTGTCTTTCAGGGACAATGGGGATCCAAAAATAAGATAGGAGATGGGTTGGTTGGGAGAGATGTTTCTTCTCCCAGGTTTTCCAAAGTGTGTGTGTGTGTGTGTGTGTGTGTGTGTGTGTGTGTGTGTTCATGCATGCGTGTTTACAGTTAGAGTCTAGGCAAACATATGTGACATAGAATATGCACAGAAGGCAGCAACAACCTCACATGTCTGTCTTCACTTTCTACTTTGTTGTTCCACACACTGCATACCCCGGGAGAGCTGACTTTCTTTTTTTCTTTTTTCTTTCTTTTTTTTTTTTTTTTTTTTTTGATGGAAGATAAATTTGTATTTTATGTACAGAAAACTTAGCAGTGAGTGTACATTTAACCCAGTTTAGTGGCGAGTTCTTTGGCCTTTGCCTTTTCCAGTTTGGCAATTCGAGCCACCGATTTAGGAGCTTCTGGGGATTCTGTTACCTCAGCTCCTTCCATACAATAGTAGAGTGGGAGAGCAGACTTGCAAAGCTGAATCCAGAACTCATTGTGTGAGTCTGGGGTGTGGCCTTGGGTCTTCTTGTTTTCACGGGAAGGGCTTTGCCCATTTCCTCAGTCCTTCCATTCTAATTCCTTTAAATTGTCACCTTTCTCTTGACATTTACATTGGAATGTATCAAAAGCAGACCTTGATCTATCAAATGTCTTTAATTTGCCCCATAACAGCTCTTCCAAGGAACTTAAGACAACACACAGGACATCACTGAAAACTGCAACTGGACATTCATCGTCAAAATAATTAAAAGGAAAGTCAAAACGATTCCATTATTTTACATGCCACTTCAGTACAGTTATGTGACTTCATCTGGCATTCAAAACAACCTCTTGGACTAGTGAGGGTTATTTGAATTATGTTGTAAATGAGTGCATGTATTCCTTGACTAAGGTCAGCTAGAAATCATAAACTAGATTTTCCTCTAGGTCTGGCTCATTCCCAACCCAAGTTTATATCCTGCGTAAAATATTGCCTCCCAACTTGATTGAAGCTGAGTCCATGTTTGGCCATGCTGAAATGGGATTAGAGACAGTTTCATCTTTCTTTTGATTTGTTCTTTTGCAACACTTTATTTGCTTTAGTGTGCTATTTGCATTATATCATATGAAGACTGCTAATGAGAAATAGATAATATTTATTATTGGAAAATAACCTATAAATCCCATTTATTTTTTAATTACTGAGTAACTGAATAAAGTTTCTTCAATCCCAACTGATCAACCAGTTACAGTACATCAGTATTTACTGTTCTCTGGGCCAAATTTAACCCTGTAGAGAACAGAGTGCTGAGCCTAATTAGGAATACATTCCACAAATGCACTATGAAGGGCATAAATTTTATTTTATTCTTTACAAGTAACTTGTCACAGAGGCACCCTGGATTTCAGAAAGGTTTGTATAGCTATACACATTAAAAGTACAAGTAAAACGGAAATATGTGAACCCATCTATCTTCTCCTTTCAAATAATTTAAAACCCAAGTCATGCACTAAAGAGCTTTTTGAAGTGTAGACCAGTCTGGAACACCAAAGGCCACAAAATGCCATAGAAGTGAGAGCGTGGCTGGCTGACCTTTGAGTCAGTCTTGTCTGGCCATACTTACTCTGACCTGTATGGTTCAGCCCTTTTTACAGCAGCTTTAGAATTCCTTTACGTGAAATGCTTTTAAGTAACTACCCAAATGGCTGAAACAGCGCCCCTAACCAATCAGTACTTACTGCAGTGAAAAACACAATGGTACACACATAGCATGACTGTTTAAAAGGCAAACCGAAAACATAAAACAGATAAACACCTGAAGAAGAATTCAGTATTAAACAGTAAATCAAAGCAAACTTCGCAGTGATATGTATTTTACATTTAGAAGAAATTCACTAACAACATTTTCCTTGTCAAAAGAGGCCTTCAGATCAATGCTGTGATTAAACACATGATATGATATCTTCCAAACTATAGCTCATCCATTTGTTTGTCATTAATTTTCTTCTTTGTAATCTCCGGATACTGACTCTTCTTTCTGACTCCCATTTAAATTCTGTAATGCTTGGCCATTGACTTAAAAAATTATCTTGGATGTATGATAGAGGTACATTGAGAAAATCAATGAGTGTAGTTGTAACTATAGTACTATTTGATTTTTGCTTGAAAGGGGATCATGTAAATATGACATCACACTGGGTAATAGAAAACATCAAGGCATCTGTGTCTCAATATGTCTGCAGGTGTGTGTGTGTGTGTGTGTGTTTGTACTTATGCGTACACACCTATGTGTCTGTGTATGTGTCCTCACTACAGGGATTTAAAAGTTGAAATGGTGGCAATATTTGTGGAAAACTCCAAAGCAATTTCATTTTGAAAGGAACAATTTTCAGCTCAAGTGAAACTAAAGTAAAGGGGTTAGGAAAAAGACAAAATTCGAAAGGAAACAGACAGTTGGTCATGATGAGAATAAAAAACTATATTTTAGTAAGTACTATAACTTTTTCTTTTGCTGTTATAATGAAGTGCATTCTAGGCATATCAAGATATTTTTTAGAATTAAATAATAAATACATAAAAATAGATTAAGAACAATTGTCCTTGTTCTAAACTAAGCCCTCCATGGATCATTCCTGTTGCTCCCCCAATTAATCTGCTCCTCCCCTCCATCCCACAAGAACCTTTGCATTCAACAGTACCAGTGTATTTACCCACCTGCTCTATCCTGCTGATATCACAATACACCTGGTATTAGGAGTCAAGGTTTCTCTATCATTTCACAACAAGAACTTTAAGGTAGGATAACATGTTTTCAGCAATATCATTACATTGAGATAAAACTATTGCCAAGTAGGAAATGTTTATTAGGGATGAGTTCGAAGAGAACACATTCCTCTTCTTCAGGGACCAAACAGCAAGGACATATATATCAAGAAAAACACAGTTGTCCCTTTCTTCCTTCTATGACTGCTAATAACATATTAGTGAGGGAAGTTAAAACAACTGAACACACATGGTAAGAATTAGCCCTGTGTCTCTTTACAAAACGATTCTGTGAGATGATAATAGTAAAATTATTTCATAGCCAAATACAATGACTTTTAATCACTATGGAAGAATCTTGAAGTCCTTATTTTGTAACATATTAGCACATATCAGCATGCTAATGGTGGGGTAAGGAAGCAGGAAACATTATGTTCAAGCTCTCCAATACCATGGTAGATCATGGAACACTACCTATACACTTTTTCTTCAATACAAATAAAAGGACAATTATCAAAATGCATTATTGTATAATTCAGTCACTATGGTAGCAGTGACAAGATTCTCAGACTGTGAATGAATTCAGTAAGTGGACTGAGATAGAAAGATTATTTACTGGGTATACTGCAGGAATGCAATGGGATAGGCATTGCCTAAAGCTCGACTTGCAATGGATGACAATGGTTGCCTCCCACGTGATGGATTGTCTTCATTTGGGAGAAATATTTCTTTAGTTGGGGCGAGTTTCTTTGTGTGTGGTTCTCTGGGATTCAGTTCCCATCATTCAAAGGAGGTCATTCAGGATTGACCCATGGACACTTCTGGGAAGTTAGTGAGTCACTGTGTAATTTCTAGTTGCAGAACAAATAAGGACATCACTGATTGATCAAAGTTCAGCCCTGACCAAAAGCTCAGAACACAGGGTTCTTGTGCCCAGTTTTGTGCTATCATATTTTAGCATTTCACAACTGGAAGTCTGAGATTCCCGTACCAAATTTATAAAAATTTTCTAAGGACTGGGTCTCTTTTCTAGTCTCTCATTTATGGCCTTCCCTGGACACATACAGTTTCAGGCTCATCCCATGATTTAATTCATAGCCCCAGTAGAGGGAAGCTCCAGGAAGATGATGTGTTCATCTACTATTTCAACTCATTTTATTTTCAGGCCATTGGAGTGAGGGCACATAGATGCTGGTAACTTAATTACTGTGAGTTCAGTGTAGCTCATGAATCAATAGTGCAGGTATATTTAAGTATGTTTGTATAAGTGGGCTTTGTTTTAGCATTTATATTCTGTATTTTGCCCTTTTAATGTACACCATTATAGAAACTTTGGTAAACCTATCTATATAGTTGCATAGCTTCACTACAACCAATGTTTTTTTCCTGCTCCTGTATAGGAAGTCGTCTCTACCATCCATTTTCTCTTACACATAGTGATAAAAATT